CTTATGGGTACTCCCTTGTAGGTAGCTAACTGTTTTTCTCTTGCTGCTTTTAAGATTCTCTCTTTGTCTTTTGCTCTTGGCATTTTAATTATGATGTGTCTTGGTGTGGTCCTCTTTGGATTCCTTTTGTTTGGGGTTCTCTGCATTTCCTGGACTTGTAAGTCTATTTCTTTCACCAGGTAGGGGAAGTTTTCTGTCATTATTTCTTCAAATAGGTTTTCAATATCTTGCGCTCTCTCTTCTTTGGGCACCCCCATAATTCAGATGTTGGTGCGCTTGAAGTTGTCCCAGAGGCTCCTTACACTATCTTCATATTTTTGGATTCTTTTTTCTTTTTGCTTTTCCAGTTGGGTGTTTTTTGCTTCTTCGTATTTTAAATATTTGACTTGATTCTTGTGATCCTCTAGTCTGCTGTTGGATCTCTGTATAATATTATTTATTTCAGTCAGTGTCTGCTTAATTTCTAGTTGGTCCTTTTTCATATCCTTGAGGGTCTCACTAAATTTATCGGTGGTTTCTAGAAAATTCTTGAAAAACCTTAAAAGTGTGGTTTTGAACTCTATATCCAGTAGTTTGCTTTCCTCCATTTCTGTCATTTGTGACCTGTTTCTTTGTCTCTGCATTTTGGCTGCTTCCCTGTGTTGATAGAGTGGCTTTCTGTGCTAGGTGTCCTATAGGGCCCAGTGGCTCAGCCTCCCCAATTACCTGAGGTGCACCCCTTTGTGGGCTTTGTGCACAGTCTTGTTGTAGTTAAGCCTTGATTGTTGTAGGTATCACTGGGAGGAATTGACCTCCAGGCCAATTGGCTGTGTGAATCAGCTGTGTCTACGGTGGGAGAACTTCTGTGCTAGAGACACCCTTCTGGGGCAAGACTTGCTTCAGTGGGGCTTTGGTGCTCACTGAGTCTGCCCCCTGAGTGTGTCCCTTATGGATATGAGGAGTTGTAATCTGGATGGTCCCACTCTGACCACTGGGTGCACTGGCTCTTGGATCTCTAAGGAGGTGTTAATTTAGCCTCTGCCTGAGGCTACCCAAAAGGAGCTACGAAGAGATCTGCAGATTCCTCTTCTTTGTTTGGGGTTTGGAGGTGCCCAGATGAGGCCTACCTGTGAAGCAGTGGAAGCAATGCAAGCTGCTATGGGGCCTTGGGCCTTCTTTTGGAAGTTCTAGGTCTCTCTGACCCAGCTGCAGTTTGTTAGGTAATTTTAGATTGCAAAGGGCCAGGCCATTCATATGCAAAAGCCTCTTCGCACAGCTTTGTTGGGGCAGGGTCTCAGGAAATCAACAGGGTGGAGCAAACAGCTATGGCTGATCCTCAGCTCTGCCCCAAGGGGCCCCAGGTCTCAGTGTCCTGAGGTAATTGCTGCAAGCACCTCTGAGAGAAAGCCACCCACGAGTTCCGCCCGATGCCAGACAATCCAGTTTCTCCCCATATGAGTCTGGGTCCCCAGAGACTCACCGGAACTGGAGTTCAGAGCAGTTGGGAGCTTGTGTCTCCCTCCCGATTGAAAAAGGCAAGGGTGTCCTCAGTTGCCAGCCCTTTTCACGTGCGCCTCTGTACCTCTGCACTTTACTTCTGCACCTCCTCTGAATCTCAGTGTGCTTTTCTCTTTCCTTCTAGTTGTAGAATTTCCACTCAGCCAGCCTTCCTGTGGTTCTGGATGATGTCAGTTTTGTCTTTTAGATGTATTTTTGAAGTGGTTGTGCGAGGCAGCAATTTCAGGTGTTTACCTATGCTGCCATCTTGGTTTTCTCCAGAAAATGATTTTTGAAGCACTGAAGAAGCAGGGAATGTTAGTGAGAGGAAATCCTGTTTAGATGCTACATACTAGAATATGACATGGTGGCTAAACATGGACTCTACAGCTAGACAGCCTGGCCCAAATTGTGGCTCTGCCACTTACTAGCTGTGTGACATGGTAAAGTTATTTCACATCCCAGTGTCTCAATTTCCTCATCTGTAAAAAAATTATAGCAGCATTGCTAAACTCTGAGGTCTGATAAGAAAATTAAATGATTTAATATTTCAAAATGCTTAGAGTAGTTCCGGAAATACAGAGCAAATTCTGTATTTGTTTACAAAGATCTGCAAATTGAAATAATTGAGGAATAGCAATTAATATTGTGTGAAGTAAGTTGAAACCAGAAAATTAGGTTGACATTAGAACCTAAAAACTCTGAAAAATAATGTTAAATAATTTGTATTTAATTATTTTGTCTCTCAGCAGTCAGAACACATTTTGAAACAGAGGGATGTCTCATTCAAATTTATGTTTTAGGACCATCTTTTCCAGCAGAGTGGATGAAATGCTGCTGATAGAAAGGGGAACAATATTAGTTAGGAGGTTGTTGCAATCGCTCTGATGTTTAATGAAGTGATTCTGTACCAGGGTAGAAACAGTAGCATGGAAAGTGCAGAGGGGGTCAGAATTAATTTAGTCATATATGGATAAATGAGTATTTCTAACTTGATGACTTGGTAAGTGTGGTGTTAATTAGCTTTGGAACAAAGGATTTTAAGGGCTAGTTTTGCTGGTGCAGAAGAAAGATCTAACAAAAAATATATTTTTTATATCATGAAAATGAAATGTTAATCAGATAATCACATGTAGTGAATGTCTGAAAATTTGGTTCTAAAGACCAGAACTGTGATATGGACAAATAATGTTAATTCGGTGGTAATCAGCATAAAAGTGGTACTTAAATATGATAAAGAATGATTTAAATTTTATTTTTACATGTTTCTGCAGCTTCCAAAATGTCTACAATGAATGAATATTGCTTTTTTAAAAAAAAAAAATTAAAGACAAAAGTCTTATAAAATCCAGGGTTTGATCACAGCTTTACCATTTATGTGAACCCAGCTAGATCACTTTACCTTCTTTTTTCATCTTCATTTACAAGTTCCCACCACCCCAGTTATACTTTTTTCAGAGGCAGGTATATAGTATGATTTTAATAGTTTTAAAAAAGTAATAAAAGGATTACACATATTAAAAGAAAAGAAAAAAGAATAGCCCGGTTGGTGTTGCTCAGTGGTTGAGTATTGTCCTCTGAACTAAGAGGTCGTGGTTGATTCCCGATTGAGGCAAATGCCTGGGTTGCAGGCTGGGTCGCATGTGGGTGGTTTGCAGGAGGCAGCTGATCAATGAGTCTCTCTCATCATTGATGTTTCTATTTCTCCCTCTCCCTTCCTCTCTGAAATCAGTAAAAATAAATAAATATATATATATTGGGATCGAGCCTGCAACCCAGGCATCTTCCCTGACCGGGAATCAAATGGTGACCTCCTGATTCATGGGTCAATGGTCAATCACTGAACCACACCAGCTGGGTGAGATAAAACTAGATCTTAAAAAAAAAATATATGTGTGTGTGTATGTGTGTATATATATATATATATATATGTATATATATATATATATATATTATACTCAACAATATAGAAAGGAAAAGAGAGATAGCAATAGACTGAAGATTGAAGTAAGGGCTTCATCTACAGCCCTTTGGGGTGGAACAATAGAGGACTTCGTACAGAAATAGGGAAAAATGGGGAAAGCAGAGAGAAGCCTGGATTTCCAAGGTAGTGTGGTCAATGATGTCAAAGACTACAAGAAAATGAAATAGATAAGAGTAAGAGACACCTTTGAATTTGACACTTGTGACTTGGTGTCTTAGCTCTGAGGAATTTCAGAATATAGATGTTAATGAATCAAAGAAGAACTGGAGGAAAGTAAGTGGAAGTGAAAGAGAGATGTGTTGTTAAGAGTCATGTCAATGGACCTTTATTGTTTTGGGGCTGGGAGAAACTTGAATAGACACAGTAACACAAAAGGAGGAACTAGTGCTCAGGGAGAGGGAGGGAAAAAACATTAAGGAAGTTGGGGAGAGTTAGAACTATCTACTTTTGCCTTCAAAGTGCTAGATATCTCAAGTGATCATTGTTGAATTAGTTTTTTATTAGAATTTTGTTTATTTTTTTAAACCACAAAAATCTTATTTTCTCTCTCCAAAAATAGACTATTTGCTTAGATTTACCAGAAAGTTTATAATAGAAATGACAGGTGTTATTATTACAAAATTAGGGGAGAAATCTAATTTAAAACTTGGTAACATTCACAATTAAAAGAATTTTACTCACAGTCAGGCATAGATATGAACATTAACAACTGATGGGCTAATATTGTGATTTTAATAAAGCTTTTCAATGCATCTAAGAATCAATATATAATTACAATACTTCTTGTACTTATTGCTCTATAATTGGATTTTCATTTCCCTTATCTAAATAATTTATTTACACTTTGAATGTTGATTCCCAAACATAAACATGACATTACAGCTTCTGAGAAGTATCGTTATAACTCAGAATCAGTTCATCCATAAGCTCTAGTACTGCACCTAATCGAGCTTAGTCTTAAAGATAATTCTAATAGCTTCCATTCTGTTTTTCATTCTAAGGGAACTCTTTAGAATATAGCTAATAGGTGAACAGAGATGGTATACTGGAGTCCTGCCTTCTTGTGTTCGCCTCTAGAAACAGTAACAGTGCCTTGTTTGCAACTTTATTTTCTGGACTTCGGTGCTACTTCCCAGCCACAAATATTTCTTGCAAGTATGACCACTGTCCCAGATAGAAATAGAAACATTTCCCATAGGAGGCATTGATAATCCACATGGTTAGTCAGGTATAGTGTAGATTAGAGGTTGCAGTTCTAAATAATGTTTGTTATATCCTTAACTGGTGTGGCTGAGTGGATAGAGTGTCAGCCTATGGACTGAAGGGTCCCTGCATTTGATTCTAATCAAGGGCATTTACCTTGGTTGAGGGCTCTGTCCCCAGTAGGGGGTGTGCAGCAGGCAGCTGATTGATGTTTCTCTCACATCAATGTTTCTAACTCTCCCTCTCCCTTCCTCTCTGTTAAAAAAAATCAATAAAATATGAATAATGTTCATTATATACATAATATAAATTAGAATCTTTATTTCTTTGTCTCTAGAATACCGACCATGTAATGCAGAAGAATTCAGTTGTGCTGATGGACGATGTCTTTTACATGTGCAATGGCAGTGTGATGGAGACTTTGACTGCCCTGACCATTCCGATGAAGCACCTTTAAACCCAAAGTGCAAAAGTGCAGGTACAGAAAATATATGAAGCTATGCTTATTCCAAAATCTGTCTTTTTTAATGGCAAGATTGTGACTCTGATTTGCTTAGTATGGTAGTAAATGAAAGGACATGCAAATCACTAAGCATTGATGTATCTAGTGACACTATGCAGAATATAATAATGTTTTGAAGCTAGTTTTATAAATTTAGTATGTGCTAAAAACATGAATATTTCAGGCAATGAACCTTATGAATCCATCACCCTGCCCCTTCAAAAAGGTCACCTTTTCTTAATACATTATTTTATGTGAATAAAGTTTCATGGCTACACTTCAAAAATTCAAACATAAAAGAAGTTGAGATTTACTGAGAGAAAGTCTGTGTTATTCATATTTAGGCAAAATAAAGTAAATTGTATATTAACTAAATATATACATAGCCAAACTTGGTTTATTGATAATTTCACTATTCTTTACTGAATACATAGTCAAATTTTTAGAATATATTTTTATTGATTTCAGAGAGGAAGGGAGAGGTAGAGAGAGATAGAAACATCAATGTTGAGAGAGAATCATTGATTGACTGCCTCCTGCATGCCCCCAAATCGGGATTGAGCCCACAACCATGCATGTGCCCTGACTTGGAATTGAACCAGTGACCTCTTGGTTCATAGGTTGAAGCTCAACCACCAAGGCACACCTGGCCATAGTCATGTATTTTAAAATAAAAAACTACTCATGTAGTTTGCATGTTAATAAGTTTTCTTTTATCATGTTAAATAATGAGTAACATTCAAATCATCATGATAAGAATAGCTGCAAAACCTGGACTATTTTCTGTGGCTATATATGGAACAACTATTATTCACTAAAAATGGCTTTTTTATGCCCTGATTTTTAAATGTCAATGTTATATTTCCAAGATTAAAAAAATTAGGAATATCTACCTATTCTGGATTCGTAATTTTTAGTGACATTTAATTTCACAGAGACCTATGGCTTGAGGGAAATGTCAAACTATCATTACACTTTGATCTCAATTGTCACACTATAGACGAAGACAGAAATATTCCATTAATTTTACTATAGATGCATTTAAAAAAAAACTTTCTTGATGATTTTTAGAGAGGGAGGAAGGGAGAGGGAGAGAGAGATAGAAACATCCACGTGAGAGCAAAACATTGACTGGCTGCCTCCTTTATGCTCCCTAATGGGGATCAAATCCAAAACTCCAGCATGTACCTTGACTATGAATCGAACTGACAACCTTTTGGTGCATGGGACAATGTCCAACCAACTGAGTCACGTTGGCCAGGGCTATAGACTCTTGTTTTGATTGTTAATTTTCATAATAAAGCAATGTACGTTGGGTTGAGCAAAAGTGCAGTTTGCTTTTGGTTTTCTATTTTTGTGTGTAAATAGAAAGCATTTTACATGTACATATATTTACTCTGATTTTAGACAGATAAGTTATCATATTTGTGAATGTTTTCAACAACTGTAGTATAAAAACAATGGCATGCCCTTTATATTCCATTCGTTTTATTTTCTTTTTCCAGAACAGTCATGCAACAGTTCATTTTTTATGTGCAAAAATGGCAGGTGCATTCCCAGTGGAGGTCTTTGTGACAATAAGGATGACTGTGGCGATGGCTCAGATGAGAAAAACTGCCACATAAATGAATGTTTGAGTAAGAAAGTCAGTGGATGTTCTCAAGATTGCCAGGACCTCCCAGTTGGTTATAAGGTTGGTATTCATCAAAAATAGCAAATCACTGGATACATTAGAATTTGATTAGACAAAAATAAAAAGGAATTAAAAAAAGAAAGACTCATGGTCACAGACAACAGTCTGGTCATTGCCAGAGGGGAGGAGGTGTGGGGAGGTAGAAGAAGGCAAAGGGGGGATAAATGGTGATGGAAGGAGATCTGACCTGGGGCGATAAACATGTAATACAATATACAGATGATGTGTTGTACAATTGTATGCCTGAAACCTGTATAATTTTATTAACCAATTTCACCCAAGTAAATTCAATTAAAAACATAATTTGGGGGTAACAAAAACTTTTTAATCCAATATAGCTGTAAAATGTAAAAGGCATCAAAATATTGTTAGGGCTCTGACCAGTGTGGCTCCATTGTTAGAGCTTCAGCCTTCACACCAAGGGGTCACGGGTTCGGTTCCCAGTCAAGGACACATACCTGGGTTGCACTTTTGACCACTGGCTCCACTTGGGGTGCATGCAGGAAGCAACCAATTGATGTGTCTCTCTCACATCAATGTTTCTCTCTCTCTCTCCCTCCCTCCCTCCCTTCCTCCCTCCTGCACCCCCTTCCTCCCTTCCACTCTTTCTAAAAATCAATGGGAAAAATATCCTTGGGCGAGGATTGACAACAAATATATATATATAATTTGAAAAATTATTTAAATGGAGAGTTTCTATATATGCAACCCATAATAATAATGTGGTGTAATTTTGTGAAAATATACTCAGGAAGACAAAAAAATCAAAATATTTTTCAATATATGCTGAACATAAAGAAAAAAAATAAGAAAGAGAAGCTTAGTGTTTAGAAAGATTACTGCTATATTAATAGCTGCATTAGATATGTATGTAATTCCTAAGTTCCCATTTCTTCCCTCATCCTCCCTCCCATACACAATTGAAGTTAAATGGGCTAATCATTTATTTACCACAATACTGGAGAGTACATTTTTATTTTTCATATGAGCAGGGAAGAAGAAAAACAAAACAAAACAGAACACGTGAAGTATTAGAACTGAGTGCAGGTACATTAACAAAATAAATCATGCCTGATAGTCTAATTGCTTTCTCTTAGTACCATTTTCCTGAAGCGAGTGTTTCACTGACAAAACTGATGGACAGAAATAGCATTTTAAAGCATCTGCTTCATTCACGTTGGAATGGAGGATGCAAACAAACAAAATATTAAAAATAAAGTTGTGTATTCGGTAAATTGATTGTGTAAGTTGGGAAAGTCTCCGGGGGAGCAATTCATTGGAAATAGTGTTTTTTTTTTTTTTTTAACTGAGCACTAGCTCCATGTGAATCACAATAGGGCATGGCTCTTATAAACACAGAGGGAGTCTAATGGCAGTTAGGGCCACTGCAGAGGTCAGATGTTGTTCTGCTAAGTGTTGCACCGATCGGAACGTACCTGGGGTACGTTGACGTGTTGCACATGGCACTTTAAGAGAAACCTTAACAAACTGTAGTATATTCAAATTTGTACATCGAGAAGCATACAGGGTCTGGGACACACACCTTTGGAAGATGTTTTGCCCTTAATAAAGATGACTAATTGTCTCTCTTCAAGTATATGAAGCACTGGAATAGGCAGCATATTTACTCTGAGTTGTTTCAAAGGTTGGAATTAGAGTTAGGAGGCAGATTCTGTTCAATATAAGGAAAATTGTTCTAAGGTCAGAACTCTTTATATTGGAATGAGCTGCGTTATTTCTCACCACTAAAAGTGTTTCGGCTGCGACTAATGCCTTTCTTTAAGGAAGGATGATAGAGAAAAAATGTGTGCATTGTACAAAAGGCTCGTTTTTCCTACCAGCCTTAACATCCTATGACAAGCCAGGTCTTATAATGGTCAATTCAGCCAAATGACCGTGTTGCCATTTTTAATCTCTGTATTTCTGTCATTATTATTTATTTAACTACATTGATCAGGATTTTACTATATGTAGATACAATCTAAAAACTACAGTAATTAGCCCTGGGCTGGTGTCTTATGGTCCCTTACAGCATAAGGCTGCAAGTTTGATTCCAGTCAGGGAATGTATGGGAGGCAACTGATCAATGTTTCTCTCTTACATCCATTTTTTCTCTCTCTCCCTTCTCTCTCTCTAAAATCAATAAGTATGTCCTCCGGTGAGGAAAAAACAAAAAAAACATAAAACACACACTCACTCAGGAACACTATCCTGTAAGTAACAGGGAAGCAAGACAACGAGTCCAGATAGCTCTGAATGAGATGACTATGTATCAAATAATTAATTTTGTCAGTAAGTATTTGAAATCCAATGAAGCATAAAAATATGTTAGCTATTTATTTACAATCAATATAGAAATTTTTCCTGGAAAAGCAGGGGATATGTCATAGAATTATTACCGGAAACTAAAAATTCTAAGTCGTAGGTTATAATTAATTATTTAGTTCTGTCTACATAATATACACTATAAGTCTCTATATCTATAGAATATATATGTGTGTCATATAATATGTATATCCAAAATGTAAATTTCAAAGTAGTTTATTTGTGTTTATTCTGTGTGTATTTAAACTTTGTCATAACAATCTTGGTGGTAAAATCTAAAAATTATAGAGTATCAATTATAACCTTTTGACATATCATTCAAAATGAGGTTTAATGTTTTTTTAAATGCCTGCATATAACAAGTATTTTGTGCCCAGAAATGCTATATTTGGAAAATTACTTTTGGTAGCAGTATATGTCACCCTGAAAAATACGTTAAAGCATACTATTTTAATCACTTTATAAGACTCCTTACACAAAAATATTTGTTTTTCCATACCTTTAAAATATCAGTGTTTTTATTTTGACTTCTCTAGAAATGATTTAAGGGAGAATCCTAGATGAAATAGACACTCTATTTCATAATACAAAAATTCTTTGTATATGATACCTGACAGAATTCTGTGAGTAATATTCCTGAATATATACACATGCCAAAACTGATGAATGAAATGAAACATCTACTGTGGAAAACAGACCGGTATAAAAATTTAAGGAGCTAAGTTTAGAATCATAAATAAGAGGTTTAAGCAAAGGTTCAAGCACAAATTTTACATATATATTTACTGGTAGGAAATTGAGTAAAAAGTCTATGTACAAAAAAATGCTTAACTATTTGGGGGGGGAAATGTCAGATGATGGGGTTTTCTTTTTCAGGAAATGGGGAAAACTATCCAATAACTTATTTCTCAATACATTATCAGCAGTACATGTCAAGAAATCCACATTCTGCAATAAAATTAAAATTGCTGATGAAAGCAAAAATTAGATCTTATGAAATGTGAACAATTTATATGTTTGCTATAAAACACATACAATATATCTATTCAAAAGAGAGTAATAACATTTACTAAAGCAAGAATCTTATTTTGAAGGGAAGGGAAACTTACCATGTGAAAAATAAAAATACTTCTGAGAGAGAAAGAAGTTTTAATGCATTCATTAGAAATAAAATAATCAATGTTTGTCAAATATCACATTAAAAACTGCACAAAAATATTCCTGAATGTAATAGGTAAATTTGGGTTGCTATGTTTCTTTCTTCCGGTTTTATGATCTGATATGAAAATTAACACAAAGCAGAAAAATTTGAAATAGTTCTTGATGAGTAGGAAAATTAAAATGACGTTGAATATATATAAATATCACTTTCATAAAAATTGTCTTTTTAAATGAAGGTGAATAAATTTTAAACTGTTATGAATCTCTCGTCTCCTATTGTTGAATGTGCAAGTGATTATTATTTCTTTTCATTTTGTTCATATAGGTCAGGCTAGTAGAATTTCTCATAGATGTTTATTAATTATTTAAGAGTAAAAATGTTTTTGTTATAACAAGGTTACTGGATTGGGTAGTAAATTATTATTATTTTTAAATATATTTTATTGATTTTTTACAGAGAGGAAGAGAGATAGAGAGTTAGAAACATCGATGAGAGAGAAACATCGATCAGCTGCCTCCTGCACACTCCCTACTGGGATGTGCCTGCAACCAAGGTACATGCCCTGGACTGGAATCGAACCTGGGACCCTTGAGTCTGCAGGCCGATGCTCTATCCACTGAGCCAAACCGGTTAGGGCAGTAAATTATTTTTTAAATATTTTTTATTAAATAAATAATTAAAAAACTTACTGTAGACCTTAAACATCCCAATTCCATTTGCTTATAGAAATGTGTAATACATTCAGTAGCATTTACCAATTTTACCTCCAGGAAATTAATATTCCATAAATGTGTTTTTACCTAAGCTGTCTATTTGATATTGTAATTCTATAAGCTTTGATATTAGCCATTCAAAGTGATTTTCAGAAATCCTGTTAAAATTGGGACACTGTTTAAGTTTTTCATACTTTTTGAGAGGGATTCAATATAGTTTATGCAACTCCTTTTCGTTTGTTCAAAAGTGCCCTTGAATTTAGCATTGCCCTGTGTCTGCCTATGGGTCTTCTGGCTTCCTGACCACATGATCGATTACAGGGTCTAATTTCCAGTCCTTCTCAGTGACATCTTCTTGTATCCTGTCAGTTTTTCATTTTTAAAAATATTTATTTTTTAATAATTGTGGTAGCATACAGGGTACCCCCCAAAATGTATACACACTTTAATAGCTGATAGCTCCATTGATGTTTCTTTCTCTTCAGATTTTATCCTCTTGCCTTTCTACATCAGGTAGTAAGTTAAGTCTTCTTAATTACTTGGGAAAGTAGTACTGCCACTGCCTAAGATATGAGAAGGACTTTCCCAAACTGTCCTTCTCATATCTTAGGCTGTGACAATCCTACTTTTCCAAAGTGTTGTTTTTGCTTTGATTTGCTGGCTTGCTAGTGGGTTTTATTGATTAAACACAGCACAATCCTTTATTATTGCCTAGGATTGTTAGATAAATATTGGTGAAATTTGTTAAAGAATAAAGTGCTAAGAACTTAAAGGGATTTAGTTCTTGTAAAAGGACTTAGAAAGAGGTATTTATCTTTTGAACAGCTTCAGGTGAAGTTGATGTTTTCCCTCCTAGTAATAAATACCTTCTTGTACTTAAAAAAATTCTAGCCCTCGATTAATTGTTGGCTGACTATTTAACAATATGTATATATGTACCTCCTATATTATCCTAAAAATATAAAAAGCTCTTCTGTTACCATTACCCTTAAATAAATTATCTAAATTATGAAATGTTTACTATGGCTAACCCTTAACTACTAGTTACTCTTAATAACTTCAAGTTATTTCTTAATTCACTGTCCCACACAATACTCACAATTTTCTTTATTCAAAGACCACTAAATAGCCTTGGTAAATGTTAATATGACCATAATCTTCTGGCCAATTATAGGTTCATTTTGTATAATTAGAATTTTCATATGCTTCTTGGCAGGGACTGAATAGAGAACTGAAAGACAGTGACCAATCATAGCACCTTATTATTTCCAGGAACTCAAAAACATATTTGGAATGACATTGTACTCAGAATTGACATGCCAGTTAGTAAATTTTGTGGATCATCCTCAGAAGCTCATGTAGAAGATCATAGAGGTGCTGAAGAAAAGATTTGATGATACAAATTTATTTAATAATGATGGAGAAACTATGTTATTATTTTTCCAGATAACATCAACATATCTGATTATGGAATCAGACCCAGTTGATAAATATTAATTGATCTTTACTATGTGTTAAAAAATTACAGACAGCCTCAACTCTCCTCCTGGATTTATCTAGGCAACCTCACCTTTGTTCCTCTGGGTTTCTCATCAGTTAACTGAGGAAAATAATACTTACATCATAAATTTCTGTAAGGCTCTAATACAATAACATGTGATAATGTTAGTAATCTTCAAAGTTCCACGTAAGGTTTAATTCTTATGACTGTTAAAGTCTTCTAAAAAGACAATACAATGAAATAGAATAGGAATGAAAGTTGACAGTTCAGTTCTGTTGTATTTGTCATTCTCTAGTCACATGGCTACGGCGATATCAGTTAACTTTTATAATCTTCCCAACCTCAGATGTTCAAATGAAGATATTTCAGAGATTTTTAACTTTAACTTTATATGATATTTGTAATGCTTATTGAAGTTTAATCTCTGTGTGTGTGACAGAAAGATTTGCCATTACCTTTTGTGGGTTCAGTCATGTTAAAGGGATATCCAATAAGAAAAGACAGTGACAATGGTGTGAATTGATTATGCTTGTTTTTAATTCTGCAGTGCAAATGCTGGCCTGGATTCCAACTGAAGGATGACGGTAAAACGTGTGTAGACGTTGATGAATGCTCTACGGGCTTTCCGTGTAGCCAGCGGTGCATCAATACATATGGGACCTACAAGTGCCTCTGTACAGATGGCTATGAAATACAACCTGATAACCCAAATGGCTGCAAATCTCTTTCAGGTATCACATTGAACTTGTCCACTGATCCAACCTCAGTGACACACATGGATCCTGAATTTCATAGCCATTTTATTAAATTCATTCATTCTTGCTATTTCTCAGAAATCAAAATTCTTCCCAACTTACCTTGGTCTGGGATCTGTCATTCTGATTTTGTATTGTCCACAAACTGCTCTGTTTATAATAATATTGCATGATGGTCTTGTGAATTATTAAGGTTTTTTTTGTTTATATTTTGAGAGTGTTCACAAGTAACAAGAACAAGCTCTAGCATTGCCTCCTGCCGAATCACAGGTGCTTAGGAGCAGGCTTGGCCTCGACCATTAAAGAGCCTATTGCGACAGTGTTCTTACAGTTTTTCTGTCTTCCCTACACCACACACACTCACATAGGCATGTCAAGGAGAACAGCTAGTCAATGATAGCAACAGTAGCAATGATGACAACAATAATAAATCAGCTATGTAAGATAACTTGATTTTTTCCAGTGATTCAGCAAAATTATTAAACTTCTCTTTGTTCCAAATAGTGTGATTGTTTGTAAAGTAAAAAATTCAATAAAACATGACCATAACTGAAAAATATATTGTAATTTTTAGTGGAGATTATCACATATATTAAAATGATACAAAGCAATATGTAATAATTACTATTACAATGGATAAATAAATGGTACATAAGGTGTTTCTGGCACCCTTACTTTGCTTTGGAGTATAATGAATCAAATAATACTGCCAGTTTCTTTCAAAATACACTCTGGGGACAGCATTTAAAACATTAGATGTTTTCTCATCTACTATGGTACTTTCATGAAATAATTACCAGGAATAAAAAATAATGCACAAAATCTCCAAACCAGTCAGTTTCCATTACTGTAAACTTATCATAAAAGATTGTATAATGGCGATGAATGCTAATGATCAAATTTGGGTCTTGTTATATCATATATCCATGCTGTATTTATTTTCCATTAACAATAATAATTCAAAACAAATAATAGTTGACACAAAAGGAACGTAAATATTTGCTAAAGAGAAGCTAGATATTTTTCCAAAAGTATTGAGATATAATTGACATATAATATTGTGTAACTTTAAGTTGTACCATGTATTGATACACATATATTGTAATATGATTATCACCATAGTGTTAGCTAAGACCTCCATCACTTCACATTATTACCATTTATTTTTGTGGTGAGAACATTTAATATCTACTCTCTTAGTAACTTTCAAGTACATATTACAGCATTGTTTTCTATAATCACAATGCTGTGTGTTAGGTCTCCAGAACTTATTCATCTTCTAAATGGAAGTTTATATTTTTTTTATCAATATCTCCCATTTCCCCACCACCACATTCAGACACTAGTAACCTCCATTCTACTCTTTTTTTTCTTCATCCATTTTTGTTATTCATTCAGCCTTTGACAGACACGTAGGTTGTTTCCACATCTTTGCTCTTATCTGTAATGCTGCAGTAACCAGGGATAGCAGATACATATTTGGTATCTTGTTTTTATTTCTTTTGGACATATACAAAGAAGTGAGATTTCTGGGTCATATGGTAATTCTATTTTTAACTTTATGAGGAAGCACCATATTATTTGCTACAGTTCCTGCACCAATGTACATTTCTGCCAACAATGCACAAGTGCTCTCTTTTCTCCACATCCTTCCCAGCATTTGATATCTCTGGTCTTTTTGATGCTATCCATTCTAACATTGTAGTTTTGATTTGCATTTTCCTAATGAGTATTGCTTTTGTGCAACTTTTCATGTACCCATTGGCCATTTGTATGTCTTCTTTGAAAAAAATGTATATTCATCTCCTCTGTCTCTTTTATTGATTTTTTTGCAATTGAGATTTAGGAGTTCTTTATAAATGTTTTGGATATTAACCCCTTATCAGACATAATGTGCGAATATTTTCTCTAATTCTGTAGGTTGACTTTTATTACACTGTTTCTTTTGCTGTGCAGAAGCTTTTTGGTTTGATCTAGTCCAACTTATTTACTTTGTTGCTTGTGCTTTTTGTGTGATACCAAAATAATTATTACCAAGATCTACGTCAAGAAGTTTATTTCCTACATTTCCTTCTTAGAGTTTTATGGTTTAAAGTCCTACAGTTAGGTTGTAAAGAATAGAATTGCTTAAGTACTGAGGTAGAACACGACTGATCAATTTTATATTTAAATGTAGAACTACATTGACAAGGATGACGAGGCATCTTCAACTTGAGGGCTTACTCTGCTGGGTAGGGTTCTAAGTCTCAGCTTAGCCTCGACAGGAGGACTGGAATGACTGATGAGGGCACTGCCATCGCCGATGGAAGCGAACACATGTTATTAATCCTTGACATAGAGTACACTAAACTATAATATGTTACCCTATATATTATATATTCACCATAAAATAAAAGATAAAGGGAGCATAAAGTAATAATTTAGAACATAAATTAAACAGGACAAAAACTGTAACTATTAGTGCTATACAATAAAATTCACATTAGATTACATAAAGTGACTTTTTATTGTTTTTTTCTTATTTCTGCTGACATTAAATTTGCTTACTCAGCAACTAAGTATATGAATACATCTTAGAAACAAAGGTATTTAAAGAGAATTTGAACAAAATTTTTTATTGAATTGATCTAGAATTGTAACAATCAAGAATGTGGTCAAATTGATTTTAAATTATTAAGAAACACAGTCAAGTAAATATACCATACAAAACTTTCTGAATATCTTTTATTTAAGAAACTAATTTGTTTCCAAATAAGTTCTGATGATAAAACCAATGGAAAGGCTTAGAGAATCTTTACATATATGAGAATGGTCAGGTTCTTATTATTATCTTTCCTAGTTTCTGGAACAAGTGAGGTACTAAAAGATATTGGACAAACAACAAGAAGGAAATAAAGACTATTAAAGGATTTTAAAAACAGAATCATAAGAAAGGTATAATTAATAGATAAGGATAGATACTGTACATCTAAAATTATTTAAGAGAAGTCCCTAGGCAGATGAAAAAATATGTATGTAGGCAATGATACTCAGTTTTCACTGAAGCTATTCTGAGAGCAAAAAGTAGTTATTTAATCATAAAAAATGAAATATTTGATTATATGAATATTTAACTATACTGTACGTTTCTAAGATAAGGGTAGCTTATCATTTTTTTAAAAATCATCTAAAATCAGATTATAACAGCAGGTATTTCTACTAATTTCAAATAAATTAGATAACCTAATATTCAAGGGAATTGAGGGAAAGAGAGGGCTAGCATTTATAATTATCTTGATTGTACTGCCTGGGTTTCTACTGCCTTTTCACCTTATTATCAACTGAGGTCTCAGTGTGAATTTTTTAACCATTAATCTACATTTGACTTTATATTGCTTCAGAAACTAAGAAGAGTTGAAAACCATGTATCCAAAAAGTCTAATATGTTTTTTGCTTGGTATTTAGATGAAGAACCTTTTTTAATTCTTGCTGATCATCACGAGATAAGAAAAATTAGCACCGATGGCTCCAACTACACCCTTTTAAAACAGGTATGACATTCGATTTCATGCTATTCATTATAGGTACTTCAGATATGCCCTAGAGCCACAGAAATATCTCACAATTTGAATTTATGAAATGCAATTCATAAATACATGCATATATGTATATGAGATTACTATACATTTTATTTTGTTTGAATTGTCCAGGTGATGCTCTGAATTTGTCACATCACACAATTTCAAAGAAAGTAAAAGATGCAAGGTATAATTAATGTAAGAGAGTAACTATCTCAAGAATAGCTAGAGCAGAGAAAGCATAAGATTCTCTTTTAAGGTGTTTTGTGCATTACCAAATTCCCCCCCCCTTGGGATTTAAAAATAAATACTTTTTCATAGAATTCAAGTTTCTATGAAAACAGGAGATAAAACAGAATTAATGATCACCAGCCTTTAAAATTTGTAAAAAGCAAGAGAACAAGAGTGCGATTGTCACTTAGTTAAAAGGTTGTGAGTTTTCAGTCTCACCCTCTTTATCTCCCAACCCATCCCAAGACCCAGGGGAATCTGTTTTGATGTTTGAGTTCTATTGTCAAAGTATATTTACATATGTTACTTGACATGAAAAGATATAATTTCCATTTTATGACAAGATAGAATGCCATGACGTTCTCTTGTCAAATTGTTTCCATCCCAGTCTGCGGTGGAAATAGCATAAAATGAAATGATTAAAACTAGAATGACTACTACATAGACTAGAGGGATCACATATAGTTAGTTATAGCATAGTTTTAATTGTCAGAAGAAATAGCTTCTTTGGAATTATTTAGCTTGTATCTGTTGTGCTACAAAGATCTCATTGCCCCAAACTGGATAATAATGGCATGCATATGTGAAAGCACTGTCTAGAATAAGTTGCCAAAAATGAGGATATTTCTTGTTCTTATAGTATATTTATGCCAGCATTAGGCATAGGCAAAAAAAAAGCCATTCATATGGTAATTTTTCAGCAACACAAAAAACATTTACTTAGAATTATTTTTTTCCACCTACCGGATGGATTTCTTCATTACTATTGTTGGAGTTTCACTCATTTTGCTTAATGATTTAGTCTTATTTTAAGTGTAATCTCTCATTAGCAACTGTAATATTGACTCTTCATGACATAGTTGGATTTTCCAGCTTTCCTCTAAGTCACAGATTGAAAAAAAAATTATCTTGAAAATCCAGATGTCTAGCTACCCATTAAAAATAGGAAAGAAAAAAAGATGGTGTACCCTTGCTAGGCTCACATACCTGAATGGTCTCCATCCAGCCTGTTTAGTAGCTGCCACTTTGACATACAACCCATGCTTTCTAAATCCCGGAGTACTCAAACTGACCATGTGCTTGCCACAGTACCAGTATTCCTGCCTCATTCACAGGTGTCTGTGAGGTTTAGACTCTTTCTCTTGAGTTTGGAAGAGCCACCAACATCCATCAGATCATACTGTCCCTCTCCCTAATTCTGATCCCTAAGGAGATTGAATAAAATATAAAATAATTTTCATGTTTTTTAAAAAGCTAAATAGAAAGCTACTTAAAATGTATGAGTCAGACAATTATCTCTTTTTTAAAAAAATATGTTTGCATTGATTTATTTTATATATATATATATATATATATATATATATATATTTTTTTTTTTTATTTGAGAGAGAGAGAGAGAGAAATTCACACACCCCAACCTGGATGTGTGCCCTGACTGGGATAGAACTAACGACCTCTCGAAGCACGGGATGATGCTCAATCAACTGAGCCACACCAGCCAGGGCCAGGCAACTATCTCTTTAATGAATATTCCTAGAAAAAAGTTCAAGTAGATAGAACTCTTAAAATGGAAAGGTTTTTGCTGGCCAAATGATGTTCTATATTATTTAACTTATTTTTTAATGTGTTTTTCCTCAACTAATATTCATTTGAACAACATAAAGTGTTCTCTTTAACATGAGAATTAAAGATTTAAAGATGTTAAAAATAATATCTAAATGTATACCATGCATTTGCAACATATTTTCATGTACCTAAATTCATCCTTACAATAAAATCCCTTGTAGGTAGGCAGGGCAGATACTAACAGGGTGAAAAGTCAGGCAAGTTGGCTTATGTCACACTGTAATCTCAGCAGAAGACAGATGGGAATGAGAAAAAAGCTATAATGGGAGGAACTGGAATTAGGAGAAATGGCACTGGTATAGGGCAACCTCCTTGAGGGAAAGCCATGGTTCTGTGTAGACTAATTTTAAGCTTATAGCAAAGGTACAGAATATTGAAAATTATCTTTCTCTAGGAGTAAATCTCTATGTCCTCCCTTTACCTTCCAAGTTAAGTATGCCAGTCATTAATTCCTTGTATGATCTCAGGAAAAGGGATATGTTTCTTTTCTTTATACTATATCGTTTATTGTTTTTATGGTGTGTGTGTTTGTGGGGCGGGGGGGGGGTTCTTTTTTGCCTTTAAAGATTTAATTTATTTATTTTTAAATTAAATTTATTGGTTAGTAACATATATAGTTTTCAAGTGTGCAATTATATGATGCATCAGCTGTATACTGCATTGTGTGTTCACCACTCAAAGTCAATTCCCCTTCCATCACCATATACACTCAGTGGCCAGATTATTATGACCTCCTGATATCTGTAGGCAAATTAGCTGTAATTTCGTGCTGAAGTTGCTAGAGGGCTAGACCATTATAAACGTCTGAATAGCACAACATACCTAAGTATCGTTGCTGATCAAGTTCATCCTGTCATGTTGATGGCGTATCCCAATGGAGATGGCTTCTTCCAACAAGACAATGCGCCATGCCATGGTGCTCGTATTGTGCAGTAGTGGTTTCAAGAACATGAGGGAGACTTTACCTTGCTTAGGTGGCCCCCACAATCACCAGATCTCAATCCAATTGAGTATTTGTGGGACGAAGTTAAAAGAGCCATCAAGCAGCTGGTTCCACAACCATCAAATCTCACAGAACTGGACAGTGCTATTCATCAGGCCTGGTGTCAGGTTCCTTGCATCACCTTTCAACATCTCGTGGAGTCAATGCCAAGAAGAATCACCGCAGTATTGAAGGCAAAAGGTGGCCCAACGATGTACTGATGGGGTGGTCATAATAATCTGGCCGGTCATTATAATCTGGCCATTCATTGTATTTGACCCCCTTTACCCTGTACTCCTCCCCCACCCCCTTCCCTCTCGTAACACCATGCTGTTATCTGTATCTATGAGTTTTTGTTTGTTTTTCTTGTTTGTTCATTTGTTACTTTCAGTTTTATATACACACTAGTGGCCCAGTGCATGAAATTAGTACATGGGGGTGGGGGATCCCTCAGCCCAGCCTGCACCCTCTCCTATCTGGGACTGCTGTCTCCTAATCACTAGCCTGCCTACCAGCTTGATCGCTACTTGACCGCTCCCCTACCGGCCTCATGGCCCCCAATTGCCTTCCCCTGCTGGCCCGATCACCCCTAACCACCTCTGCCTTGGCCCCCATCACCTTGGCTTTGTCCAGAAGGAAGTGGGATGTCTGGAAGATGTCTGGTCTCCCGGTCTAATTAGCATATTACCCTTTTATTAGTATAGATATGAATGAAATCATGTTTTTTTTTTTTTACTTTTTCTGTCTGATTTATTTCATTTAGCATGATATTCTTAAAATCCATCCATGTAGTCACATGTGTATGCGTTGTTGTTGTTTTTTTAGCATGTCTTTGTTTTAGACTGTGCTATTTTAGAAAGTCCTCTTATTAGGATACTCTATTTATAAGCTCAGCTGAACCACAAATTTAACTAATATAGCAAGCTCAATGAAAGACCCATAATAATTTCAATGGCGCTCCTTGCTTCATTTTCCAACCCTGTGGCTCAGGATATTTCTATTGATATCTCTTTTGTTGTTTTTTATAGCTAGTATGTTATCAGAGGTTGTTCTTAATGGAGCAAAATTACTTTTGCTATGCATGATTTAAGTCTATTTCATATAACCAAACCACTTTAATGCACTTTCAGATAGCAGTTGTTTTGTTTTTTCCTGGTGGCATAATTTTAAACTATTGCCAATCACTAGTACCTAAGTGGAGATGAATTTCATATAGCTTTCTTTTCTTTTAAAATATATTTTTATTGATTTTAGAGAGGAAGGGAAAGGGAGAGAGAGATGAAAACATCAATGATGACAAAAAGTCGTTGATCTGCTGCCTCCTGCATGACACTGGGGATTGAGCCTGTAACAGGGGCATGTGCCCTGACTGGGAACCGAACCATGACCTCCTGGTTCATAAGTCAATGTTCAACCACTGAGCCATGCAAGTTGGGCTCAGGTAGTTTTCTTATGAAAATAAAAAGGGAGTGAGGACAATGGGGAAGTTCATGAGGACTCTAAACACCTGTGCTTTTGGAAAGCATTTGTTAATGGTGACCATTGAGCAAGGAAATAGAGACCCCCAAACTAAAGGTAAGTCTTACTTCTAGTTTTGACAGCCATCAGTTTGAATACATCATTTCTGTTAGGGATGATGTTTTCACCATAACTTTGTCATAGCATTGTAGAAATACTCAAGAAGTTCTAGGCCATAGAAAACCATTTTTCCATCTCAGAGATTGTCTACATATACAGACTTGGGAAGAAAACAAAAGTAATTATCTCTCCATATTTAACTCAGTAAAAATAAATGAAAGACACCATCTTTGCTTTAATTATTAGGGAATGTTTTGTGTAGGTGATTAGGGAAAATGATTTACCCTAACATCTTGAATTTTATACACTGTTATCAGTAACAATCTCAAGAAATGTTGTAACATAAAATTATAACAACTGGTAAAAAAAATTTTCAGCCTATGTAGTCTAAAACATAGTTATAGCTAGGCCAGCTATAACTTATATTCATACACTACATTTAGAAAATCTACTTTAATAACATGGATTAAAGAAATGAAAATTAATCAAGTAGCTTTTTGATATGTTATCCAATTCAATTTTAACAGTGCCTTTTATTCCAGTAAAATTGAATAGAGAAACAAAACATAATTTCTTAAATTAATCATCTTGAACCAAAGGATATAAGTATTTAGCTACAGAAATGAAAGAAACAAATAGAATTTTGGTGAAACCAATTTTCAGCTCCAAAGCCACTGGGATTACTCTGATTTTTAGACATTATTTTGACCATACCTTGCATATGATTCTACAAAGAGATCATTGCACTGTTTCTGTGTAGATGACTTGTAAAGCAGTAGAACAATGACAAGTTTGGCTAGATATATATGTCAGAATTAGGAGTTTCAATTTCTTTGTGTTTACAGCTTTAATTTATCATAGCGGGTTTGCTAAATTTGGAATTTGATATTTATTATATAAATTGATTATTGTAAAGAAAGGAGAATAATTTTGCATGAATGGGGATAATGGGTAAATTTTTGCTAAAGTTAGAGACAAGTTTCAACCTTTTTTTTTTTATAAAGCTCTAATTTATCCATCGCTATTTGAATTGCAAGCCTATCATGGAACCTTAACACATTTACCTTATTTATCTGGTGAAAAAATCATTTGAATGTAAGAAATATTGTAGACTACTATTGTAATGATTATCTTTTTGTTTGTTAACCCTCACCTGAGGATATTTTTTCCCATTGACTTTTAGAGAGAGTGGAAGGAAGGAGGAGGAGGAGCAAGAGGAGGAGGAGGAGGAGGAGGGAGAGGGAGGGAGAGGGAGGGAGATATATAGAGAGAGAAATCGGTGTGAGAGAGACACATTGATTGGTTACCTCCTGCATCCACCCCAACCGGGGCCTGTGATGAAACCTGCAACCCAGGTACATGCCCTTGACCAGGAATTGAACCTGTGACCCTCAGTCCGAGTGTTGACACTCTATCCACTGAGCGACAACAGTGAGAACTGTAATAAATATTTTAAATCCTCTACAGAACTTGGAATATATTCAATGTATACTTTAGAACATTCATTGATTCTGCAGAGGCAACATTCTCGATGTGTACACTTAAGTACATTTAGTTAAGAAGTCCTCCAGTTTTTAGCTTATGAATACATTTTTTGGTGAATGTTTTGAATCTGTGACTAGAATATTATTTTAGTTTTTCTTTTAGCACTTATAGTCATTACTTTGATTAGTAACGTCAGTAAGAAGTACACTGGCATATATTTATCTGGGCATAGTGAGGCATAGTGTTTACTTCCTTGTGTCTCTTGTTTATGAGCAATGCATGCCATTCTGTGGGGTTAGGCTATTTCCGTTTACCTTTATAATCTGGAGCTGAAGAAAAAGATTTTGCTCATGTTAAGCCAATTAAAAGCATCTGATTTGAACTTATGATCTTAACACCGCTGCTACTAGAATACAGCCCCGCTGAGAGAAGGAAAAAAATCAGTATTTGCCAAAACCTTCTCTAAATTGCTTCTAAACACAGGCTATCCTTAGTCTTGGAAACGGTCCAAGAGAACTAAAATCTGAACAATAATAATTTAGCCTTTGCCTGTTTCTCAAAAAGCATTATATAAATCTAATACAGTGTCATTCTTATTATCAAATTGCAAATTTTGAGAATACATAATGAAACAATTCACATGTGGTAAATACCATCCTTCCTTCTCCAAACCAAACCAAACCAAGGCAAACAAAAGGACTTATCTTCCTGAAAATCTAATCCTTAACTATAAAACTAAACCTACTAATAAATGATTCTTAAAATAATTTAATACTTAACTACAACTTTGGGGTAAATCTATACTAATAAAAGCCTAGGTGGCCCTCGTGCGACACCCTCACATCATCACAAGATGGCCACCCCCACATCATCACAAGATGGCCACCACAAGATGGCCAGCAGGGGAGGACAGTTGTGGGTAATCAGGCTGGCAGGGGAGGGCAGTTGGAGGCAGTTAGGCTGGCAGGGGAGCAGTTAGGGGGCAATCAGGCAGGCAAGCAGGCGAGTGGTTAGGAGCCAGCAGTCTCAGATTGTGAGATGGATGTCCTACTGCCAGTTTAGGCTCGATCCCTGAGGGATCGACCCTAAACTGGCAGTTGGACATTCCCCAAGGGGTCCCAGAATGGAAAGGGTACAGGCTGGGCTGAGGGATACCACCCCCCATGCACAAATTTCATGCACTGGGCCTCTAGTATTTATATAAGCAACTTACATCAGCTATAAAGGTATAGTAAAGATCTCTCAGGGCTTTGCCAAGTGTGTGCTGTATCAAATTATTTTTTTGATCCATAAGGATTTATATATTAATAAACTATTCAAGCATTAAAATGAGTTAGCACTATTGAAATTCTGATCTAAGTTTTATTGGTCCACTGAGGTAGTAAATCTATAAGCCCTAACAATAGACCAGAATTAAACAAATCCCTAAGCAATCATTTGAACAATCTAACATCTCAGAAGACTCCCAGATGCTGGTGCACAGTCCTCCACAAAATCAGTCAAACAGCAGAACTACTAAACCAATGTTCTGAGGCATCTCAAACCCATTGGCTGAATTCCTATCTAGTTTTGTTCCCTGCTAAAAACTGCATAACCATGAGTCTGAAATGAGGCTTTTTCTCACCACGTGGGATAAAACAATATTGACTCTCCACTTCCTCTTTGGTCAAATACTCTCCTAAGGTTATAACTTTAAATTCTAACATGGCACTGTGTTGCCTAAGGGGCCACTGGAAGCAAAAAGGGGGGCGGGGAGTGTATTTATCCAGTTGAGACAAAAGCTTTTGTAAATAATCAAATTTCAAAATTGTCTTTTCTGACTTTAATCAGATGGCTATCCAGGGGTCATCATAAATCATCAGGGATCTTTAGTTTTTCCCATTTAAATATGTGCTCTTTTCTAGTTACTCTACAGAACAGATGATAATAATGACATCAAATGTATATTTAATATTAACCTACAGTGAGAGTCTTTCACTTTATCTCTCCAAAAGCAAGTTTTTGCCCCCACCTCCTTTACTGGCTATTTGATTACACCATTATCCATAAAAATGCTGAAATTGTTGTGGCCTGCTTGTAAAACATTTTCAAATAACTTATGCAACATCTTAAGTTTATAATGCAGAGAAAATCTAAACATATGATGCTTTTAAAGAGATTTGATCACAAATGCCACTATTATAATAGCTATAAGTATTTAAAAGGGGATAGAGACTCTTACAAACTCCTAAAACATTTAAAAATAATTTCTACTTAACTATTCCTTTTTATTTTTTAGGGATTAAACAATGTTATTGCTGTAGACTTTGATTACAGAGAAGAATTCATCTACTGGATTGATTCCAGCCGACCCAATGGCAGCCGCATAAATAGAATGTGTTTAAATGGAAGTGATATTAAGGTACCTAAGTATTACAACAATGGGATTGTTGGATATTTTATTAGCGTGGTTGAATTAAATAGAAAATGTTATTTGATGGTAATGGTACAACTCATAGAATATATTAGATTGGTTTGCATTTCACATTTTATAATGTAAATTAATACATAGTTTAAATGTGAAAAATGACCCTTTTATTCTTATATTTCATTATAATGCTATTACATGAAATAAGGTAAAAATCAAATTGAATAAATAAAATTTGGATCCTTATTCACAACCCTAGAAAATGTGATGGATGGTTCTAGCTTGAATGGTTAGTGCCTTAGATTCAATTGTGTTAATTTATATAAAAGAAAAAGTTGAGACAGAGTATTTGTAATTGAAAAATATTAATAATTAAATTATAGATTAAAATTATAGCACTATTAAAATTAACCTACTATAGATGGGAATAATGGAATGCATTTGTATAAAATCATGAATGTTCTGATTAGTCAGCATCATAATTAAATACCTGTCACCTTCTAGATATGAGCTATTTGGTACCATTTCTGTGTTATCTCAGGTTTTAAAATAAGATTATTTAAATACTTTAAATTATGTTATAACATAGGGTTACAAAATGCATTTTTCTTCCTTTGGGATTAATAATTCACTGATTTTTATTAAAATGGTCATACATGACAATTTTCCAATTTAGAATTTTGGAGAAAGAAAGAAAAGATATTGTACAACTCAGTATTGTAGGTTGATATTATTAAATGCTGAAAATGTTCATGTTGTCACTTTATATCTTTACTATTTATGGTTATTGGGAAAGGATAACTATAAAAATTCAATGTTTTTTTTGTCTCTATAGTACTATAACAGCCCCATGTTTCAATTGCTTCTTTCATTCAGTCCTCAAAGCACGAAAAACTCAGAAACAGTGCTCATATATTTTAAGAATTTTGGATTATTTTATATGTGTCATATTTGTATATGAAAAGCCTATATTCTTATTATATTTGATATTTAGATGGGTTATAATTAAGCACAATAGTTGTATGAGAATAATTTCCCTTTGGTTATGTTGGGTTCTTCCTTGTATTTTTTTTTCCATTCCTATAGTAGAGCATTTATATAGGGCAACAGCAGTTGGGGGGATGGCAATTGCTATTGATATCTCCCCTACAGCCTGTTAAAAATAAATTTCAATAATTTTTGTGTGTGTATGTCTTTGTGACAGAATTTTGCCCCAAATTTTAAGAGTACAAATAAGTGAAAATGAAAGTGTGATCAATAATTATGCAGCTGTCCAACAGCTGTTTTTAAATTTGAGCATTTCTGTCTTAAAACCGCATGTAATTTCTGGGGGGCCTGATGACATATTAGGTAATCTCTCACAAATGAGCAAGTCATTTTATTAGGGTAAATTGTTCTGTTTTATGCCTATGTAAATTTTATTTCTAATGTTTAAATAGAATTCTATTATCTCTGTAAAAATCAAGAAGCAGTGCTCAGTTCTTATTCTAGGCATTTACACTGTTAACTGTTTGAATTCTTATTTTGTTAGGTAGTGCATAACACAGCTGTCCCCAATGCACTTGCTGTTGATTGGATTGGAAAAAACCTCTATTGGTCCGACACAGAGAAAAGGATCATTGAAGTATCCAAAGTCAATGGCTTATACCCCACTATACTCGTTAGCAAAAAGCTGAAGTTTCCCAGGGACCTGTCTTTAGATCCACGAGCTGGGTTTGTAACAAACATTGGAAATCTTAAATTAAGACTGTGGGTTACATTTAACGTGACAAATCCTGTTCTGTGTGTTTTAACATGGAAACCAATGTAAAGTGTGGATGTGTAGAAATCTTTCCTGAGGAATCAAAAATAGAAATATGAATATCATAGTGAAATAAAAAATTAAAGTTATGGTATTTTACAGCAAGTATATTTTAAATTTCTAAACAAGATTCTTTCTGACTAATAAATATATTGTGGAAATGTAGAAAACTTACAGATTTATTTGATTTTAATGTCTTTAAGTCTTGGAGGAAAGGTAAATGAAGAGCAAATTCTTGGATCACATTTTGTGTCTATGTGGTAGTCACAAATGTGGCTGATAACATTTCTGTATCATTTTAGAGCAGGAGACATAAGTAGTATCCATGGATAATAAACAACAAGGTGCATTTTACATACATTCAAAAGAAATTGCACAGTGAGAATATCAGGAAAGATTCATATTGGAGCTGTGTTTCATTTGCATGTCATTGTGAGAATGGAGGTCATCAAAAAGGTCAAGGACAGTAGGCTGGAGATTTCAGATGAGAGATGAATACACATTAAGGTGTCAAAGCTGTCTGGTGCATGTTTGCTAAAGTTCCATAGATTATGGCTGTTTACTTTCAATTATGTTGTTTGGTAAGTAGAGAAGGCATATATTTCCATTGTTCTTTGCACTATAATTTAGAGAGATTACATACTCCAAAATGATCTCTGTAGAAGTTCAACCTACTCATCACACTTTCTAAAATAAGAATTTTAAAGAATTTGATGTTTTAAAATAGTTCACTATAGTGCTGTTAATTTTCTGCTACATAAATTAATTTCAAATGTGTTTCACCAAATCATTGCTTTTATCATATCATATGCAACAATTCAATTTTGCTTTTTGCTAATATATTGACTCTGTGTTTTGGTCCTTTATATTTGCAATTGGCAGAGTAGTCATGTTATAGTATATTTTACAGCTTAATTTTAAACATTATTTTGGGTAAGAATAGTACCTAATAGAGAGCCCTTCTACTATAAATATTGTTCTATTTCCAAAGTAATGTGCAAGTGTTAACTTTTCACTATATAATTATGTAACCATTTTGTTACCTTTTAAAATATTTTCTTTACCATGGCAACATAAATTTCAAGAGTATAAATTCTATTTTAACTGAGAGTCATGAGAGACTGTTTCCACACGAGTTTCAATATATTACATCCAGATGTACTAAGTTTGGTTACCATCATCATTCATTCATAAGAATGTAAATAATTTAATTTTTTTTTATTTTCTGAGAAGGTATTTATTTTACTGTGTCCAAACTATTGTCCCTTTCTTTAAAGTTAATATGGCTGGCTTAGCTTCTCGTTTTATACCATTCAAGATGCTTCATTTTCTAAATGAAAGAAACAACAACATTACCTGTGGGTAACAATAGTCTTGTGGAATTTCCTAGTAATAAATCAAAAACTGCATCCTAACCTGAATCCAGTTTTTATTTTGTCCAGATCCAAGTCATTACCTCATAAACTGAAAACAGTTATAAGTTATCATCAACATAAACCCAACCATCAAAAGTGTCAATTTAAAAAGTGACATATTAAGTTATTGTAGAGATTATGAGATACTCCCTTGACTTCCCTTTTTGATAATATTTGATTTCTGATATGGATATGCCATATTATAGCCAAAGAAACAGATAAAAATTTGAAGTTTTTATGAAACAGTGAAAGCCGCCTATTCTAACAGATAAAATTTAATGACCCCTTTTTGTTCATGCTGTTTTCCTAGCTCCCCTGAGGGAGACAGTAGGGCAACCTGGATTTTCACTTTTATGAGGTGCGCTTCAGGGTGAAAATGCCATAAATGCCTCCAATATTGTGCAATCCTGCTTCAAAAATGGCAGCTGAAATGCTAAGATTATTTCATAAAAAGTGCAATTGAATCTTTCTACATCGGATTACCATTGTTATTTGCATATGTTTTGAAGATGCCAACAGTACTGACCTCTGTTTCCTTGAGAAGTGAGATTTCTGTCCTGATATTCAGTGAGGGATTGGGCAAGGCTTTGTTTAAGGGAGGATCAAGATTATGGCACTAGTGTAATGAAGCATTAAACATATAGGAAGCAGTTTGTAGTCATTTTTATCTTTTAATAACAGTATGCCAATTGTCACAAATCAATTTGGATATGGTAATGACTAAGAGTAGAAAAGAGCTACAAGTAGATAGACCATCTTCTTGGTTGTTATATTTAAATTCAACCAAAATTCAATTATTCTAATAATTTTGTTATCTGGTTTACTTTGGGAATCAATGTTCTAAATTATCATATATTTGGGGTAATAAAAATTATTTACAATCAATATTTATAAAAGTCATTAGTGCAATATTTTTGCACTAATTTATATTTTAAAAAATATTTATATTTTTAAAGTAGAATAGAAAACATAATGTTAAAACTTTGCTAAGCATAATTTAATCTTTTTGGGTGATTAAGATGTCAATTCATGTTATAATAACAAAAGACCCTCATGATAGACATTAAAGTGAATATGTGATAGTCCTAGTTAGCAAAAAATAAATTTTCTACTCATTCATTTTTTCAACACTTATTTCCTTAGCATTTAGTGTATATATATAGCACTATAGTAGGAGCATAAAGATAAAAGGCACCTATCTTCAATTATTTTACTGTGCAGTGGGTAGGCAGATGAGTAAGTAATTAGAATACAATCTAATAATTATAAGATAGAGAAAACAGAACATGTTAATAACTCAACTGAGATCAGAGAAAGCTTCATAGACAAAACGGGTAGAGTAAGAGTTAGGTAATGAGATGCACTCCAGAGCAGGAGGCATTTCAAGCAAAAAAGAATAAGCTCTCTGGGAAAGCAAGGACACACACAAGACTATGGCACAGTGGGAAGAACTCACATGTTTGGAATGAAATAATTATAAGTAATTGTGGAACTTTTATACCAGTTCACTTTACAGAGTAAGGAAGAGCTATAAATAGATCAAAATAACAATAACAAAACAAACAAAATAAGCAAGCTTTCTGGCTTGGGCAAACTGGTAATTAGAAAAATATTTTCTCCAGATTGGTTTGTAGACCTATTGAGATTGGGAGTTCTGATACTATAATGAGGATGAAGATTACTACCACTTCTATAGCATTTTGTGAATTAGAAAGTTATCCCTTCATTTTATATTTTATGTGCTTGTACTATTTACTCAGAGTCTCTTGGAAAGAGGATAATTTTTACTACCATCCGTAGAGTCAGTTAGAACATTCAACCTCAAAATGCATAAGTGACTTTCTCAGGATTATTTAGGTAGTGAGATATTAAAGTGGGGATTTAACCCAGTTTTCAAGCTTCACTTATATATTTTCTCTATTATATGACACTAGAGTTTCCAGGAACAAAATAATCTTGGGTCATGAGCATGATTTTTGAAGAGCCATCCAAACAAGAGATAAAAAAAAAGAAAATATACTTTTTTCCTTTTTCCATTTTAACAATTAGCCTTTTTACAAAACTTTAAATAGATAATAAAAGTTTTTTGGAAATAAAGAAAACTGCCTAAATCATTATAATCATGCTTTATTTTTAAAGTATATTACTTATTTATTTTTATTTCCAAATACTCTTTCTTTCTAGAATGCCCTTCTTTTTCTCCACTTGAAATAAATTTCCATTTTTCCAGCAAGAGCAGACAATATCACTACTTCTGTGAAACATCCCTTAACTGTGCTTAAATAGACACCATATATTGAACACATTATTATACAACTGTTTTATTTTTTTCACTACTTATTTTTTTTATTGCAGTATAATTGGCATATGCCATATTAGTTTCAGGTGTACATATGACTATTATTGGTGTATATGTTTATGTATGTAGAAAGAGTTCCATTAGCATAACGGCCATGGTTTAATTTTAGTTTGCACCTAACACAGGGGTTGCTAAATTCATTGTTGGAGGAAATAATAAATAGGCAACTGGACATACATAGCACATATGGTTATAGATACTTTGTATGTACAAACCAATATATTGGTATATAAATAACTTGCATGTTTCAAATAAAAGTGTCATAAGAAAATTTTTGTTGTGAGGAAATGAAAAACATACCAGGAATGAAAATTGTTTCAGATTTCTATGGGGAACACAGAAATATTTTATGAAATTAAACAGTCACATAAAAAATCTCATTTTTCCCACCAGTTTTTTAAACCTCTATTTTCATATTTAGGCAAAAACAAAAAGGAATGAGTATCAAGCCTTAATTTTATAATTCAAAATGAGAAAAAAAATGTAGCTGGAAGAAACAACTCTGAATTTATTCCCCAAATCAGATAAAAAAGTAAACATTGAGAGAATATTTCTAATTTATTTTAAAGAAATCTAAAGTATTACATTAAACTATAAAAAGACACCCTCAGGAATCACAGAAGCCTGTTGTTATGGTTACAAGTAGATGTTCTTTTGTATATTTACACTTGGTAATAACTTACAGAATAGATATTATTTGAGGATCATATTTTTCAGATGTAATCTTAGGTAAATATTACACAATATTTGGTTGAAATTTAGAACTCTCTTTTTGATATTTTCACTGAAGTTTTAGTTTTCAGCTTTAATTATTTGCAACAAATATTGTACTTAGGTAATTTTTAAGAGGTTGCATTTCAGATGTTAAAATTACCAGTATGTCTGGTGCTGAGAAACTTGAAACAAACATATATTAATGATGGGTTAACTATAGAAAAGAAAATGAAATTTAGCTATCAGAAATTAGCTACCCATAAGGAGATAGACACAAAAAATCCTATGTTTATGAAGGCTCATTCATACCTGAGTATAGTTCAACTAATACTTTTTTTGAGTGGATGGGAATGTTTTCATAATAGTCTTTTGGTTGATGAGTATGTAAGTAGACTACTAATGTAATAACACACATAAAATTCAG